AAGTGGAAGACACCGTGGCCAGGCATGGTTGACGCGCCTGTCGACATCATGACAGGAGAGCCAGTGGGCCGCCAGAGGCATTGGGATGGTGGACACGATTCATACTACGAATATCTCGTCAAAATGACGCTCCTAGCACCGCCAACAGATCCCCATCTTGGCACATACAAACACCGATTTACAGATGCGGCGTACTCCCTACGCAAACACCTCAGTTCCCGATCCGCGCCAGCACCCGATCACTACATGCAACACCTGTACATCGGACGCTACAACAAGGAATATGAAAACCAGCAAGGGCATCTCGCCTGCTTCGCACCCGGTACCATCCTCCTCGCATCCAGACTCTACGACGAACCGTACCTCCGTACCTTTGCGCTCGCGCTCCTCGAAGGCTGCCGCCACTCGTATACCTCTACACCCACCAAGATCGGCCCAGAGACATGGGCCTGGATACCCAAATTCGGATACGACGACCCGCTCTTCATTCCAGAGACTGCCCGTCAAGAGCGCGAAGCGATGGCTAGCGGTATCTGGGCACTGGAACCAGCATACAAAGGCCGGCCTGAGTATGTGGAGAGCCTGTTCTACGCATGGCGCATAACGGGCGACAAACGATATCGCGAATGGGCATGGGAAGCTTTCTCCGCTATGGAAAAGCATTGCAAAGCGCCGTTTGGTTACGCACAGCTTGCTGATGTGTATGATACGAAGTCAAAGGGCGAGGATAAGTGGGTTGATATGCAAGAGAGCTTCTGGGCTGCGGAAACGTTGAAGTACCTATGGCTCACGTTCTCGGATGTCGAGGTTGCGAGTTTGGATAGCTGGGTGTTCAGCACCGAAGGGCATCCGTTTCGTATGATGCGGTGAGCGGAGCCGTCATGGTACGGTCGTACATGAAAGAAGAGAGAACACCACGTCTTGGAGAGAAGGGCAACATAACAGCCAGAGAGGTTATAAGATCTCATAACAGATACCGAGCACAGTGGCAAGCTACACAGCTGGCCAAACAGCAACGGCGCAAAGATACCCAGAAACAGATTCGCTTCAATAACAAAAACAAAGAACTATTGTACTATTCCCTCGCTGCCTCACCATCTCCATCGTTTTTCCACAACTTATCGCTCACAGCACTTAGCTTCCTCCGCCACTACCTCCGCCACTGTGTCCACCACTATGGTCAGTACTATGCGCTCCACTATCACCACCGTGGCCATGACTATGCCCGCCATCATGTCCACTGCTATGTCCATGACTATGCCCATCACTATACCCATTACTACCTCCACTTCCATCTCCCCCTACATCCGTAGCATCAGACACTCTATTACTCTTATACACGCTCCCCGACGCGCCCTTATACACCCCGCCACTTCCGCGGTTATAGCTTAGCTTACTGGCATCCGTGTATTCGGGAGGATCGTAAATAGGGCTTCTTCGGACTGGTCGGGGGTGGTTAGTGGACTTTGTGTTCGGTACGGGGATGGGGTTAGTGGTGTGGGCAGTGGTTGGTTTGGGAGTTGACGGTATACAGCCCATGGTGTTGTATTTGAGTATGGTTCGGCGTCTTGGAAAGTGGGATGTAGAATGTGGGATGTGGTAGTGTGTGAGTGTGGAGGAGGGTTGGTGTGGGCGTTTCCTATGTGTTAAGAGGACGATAGGTCGAGGAGTGGCGTGGCAGTTGCGAACGGAGTGTGATCTTGCGTCATCTGGATGCTGGCAGCAGGTGAAGTGGCGCCTTCAATACGTGCGTATCATCAGCGCGGTACATACACCCTATCCTCGTCGCCATAGTTTATTCTCGTAGTACGGTATGTTGCTCGATCCAGCCTGCGTATCGTGAAGCTTGGCTTCGACAAGCGCAGGGTCATCTAGAGGAACTTGTCGTATGGTCGCTCGAGGCAGCTGTGACTGTGGGTGTGGGATGTCGGAGATGGTACTAGAGTCGTTGGCAGTAGCAGTAGTGTTCGTTGTGATAGGCTGAGGGGCAGGGAGAGATTCCGCGTCTTTGGAAGATGTGCAACCCATGACTGTTTCGGGTTCTGGAGTATCGAGGGTTATGATGGTGGTTGGTATGGGGAGAGTAGCTATGTGTACGCGGGTTTTGCGAAGTAAGAGAGAGCAAATGTAAGGAGTGAATTCGCTGCGATGAGTGAAGAGAGTCCCGAGGTTGCTTCACGACGTTACACCTTCAATCAGCAAGGCAGTGTTTCGAGGACCTGTTACGCACACAAGTAAATCCATTTCTGGGGCTAACCACATCACAACACATCCAGCTCATCGTATAATTCATATGGCACTCATTATATTCAGTCTCGCAAATTGCTACTCCCCTACTGTAGCACACCCATCACTCCATCATCTTATCCCGCGTACTAATCCAAGTAAATCCCGTATCGTAATACCCGTATTTGCTTGCCAAGGGACCTTTCATCGGAACAGGGGTCGAGGGCGCTGTAATGAAAGGAGGAGTGGGGGTATTGCGCGGTGCTAGATTTTCAGGTTGGGCTTTCGCTTCTAGCTTGGTGGACGTGGGGGAAGGAGCCGGGGGCGTTGCGGTAGGAGGGTTGGAGACTGGTTTGGGGATTGGTTTGGAGGATGAACAACCCATTGTGAGAGTTTGGGAGAAGGACGTGGAACTTCGGGTAGGTGCAGGAAAGACGAAGTGTTCCTCTTGGGAGGTACTTTTCGGCTACAGAGAATGGGAAGCCTGTATGATTATATATGGAGCGAGGGATATGCGAGTAGTTTTATTGAGGTCTTATACGTGAACAATGGAAGAGAGCGCAGTGAAGCACACAATGTGAGCATGTCCCCCGGTGACCTTGAGTTTTTGAACAACGACACAAAGATAAATCTGCCAGTACCCAGAGCCCTGACTGCGCACATTCCACGTTCTGTCTTTTTAGAATCTCTAGCCCGTGTGCAGCCAACCATCTCTAGTCACTTCCTCCACCTCCACCTCCTTCACCAGTCGCTCTGCCCTCACTAGACATCCCTACATAACCATCGTCACCGTTACTAAACCCGCTGTCTGCTCTACCCAACCCACTGTATTCCCTGCCGTGCATATCACCTCCATCATAAAAAGGAGTTATCCTAGCATATCCTTCGTTGTAGTCTCCGTACGCCCTGTTTTGGCCGGCGTATGTACCAGTACCCTCGAAATACCCGCGGGCTCTTTCACCGTTTCTCCGGGCAGTGTATACTGCTGATATGTGATTCACTTCGTCTTTCACGCGTTCGACTTCGCGATTTATTTTTGATAGAAAAGAGCCCATAGCTTGGTAGTCTTTAGCTTGAAACAATGGTGCGATTGTGTATGCGCTGGCTCGAGTGCTTGCGGTGAAGTGAAGATAGCTGAAAATGGCGCTGTCACGATGACAGTAATATCTGGGAAAAGAATTTATGAAGAGAATTGACGAGGTTGGTGAGTCTTGGGAAGGTGAACGACAAGTTCAAAAGACAGTTCCGTGAGATGTTCATACTTCCTGGCTGCGCCGTAGCTGATATGAGGCACGGTCGAGAAGGCGGCTATGCTAGGCGGAAGTCATTGTTTTAGTTGCGGCTGATACATTGGAAGCACGTACGGTTCGCTACCTACAACTTCTTTTTCATCCCTTCCATTACTTAATAAGTGAATTCAGTTATCGTGCATCTCGTGTGTGTTGCGGGAGTCGTGAGTGGCTCGTCGTTGATAGGTCATCGCGGTACCATGGGAGTGAGGATGGAACCAGAATTCTCGCTACCTATAAAAGAGACCAAAATAATCACAAGACAGCAAGTAGGTCAAGAGAACATGGAAGCATCGTGCCCTTCGTTGTTGTCGTTATCAACCACCACCTCCACCTCCACCATCTCCTCCTCCGCCATACCCTCCGCCATCGCCGCCATAGCCACCACCGTAGTACATTCTACCAGATGTATTTCTTGCGTTTGTCCCGTCGGAAAGTATGTAGGGAGGGCCTGGAGGCTTCCCTGGGTTAGGGCCATATCCGTCTTGATCGTGTTTTGGTCCAGCGAGTTTACTCGACATGCAGCCCATGGCTGGGGATTGGAGTCGTCTCTTCTGTATCTGATAATGATGATGACGATTCAGGATATTGGTTTCGCAGTGCGGGAGGAGACTATGGCTATATGCAATAGTAGTGAGCAGTGATCCGCATGTTTGAGCAGTGAGCTTACTATTGACGAGGCGATCTCTGACTGGAAAGTCGCTACATAACTATCAAGTCATGGTCACTGAGAGCTACCCATCATATATCTTCTCAAACTTCACTATTCAGCTGAAAGTTGTGTGAGTGCGACACGTACGAGAGAGGTCGTCTGACAACGCCTGTGGCGTGCGCCTCTTCGCATAAACTGTTGCTTTCGCTCACAGCTCCATGTAAGAAAACTTGGCTTCAACTCGGGTCCAGACTTGCACGCGCCAAAGGCACACTTCGGAAACATCTCAAGAATCTATATTCGATGCGATAATTGATGCTGGGTATATAAGCGACAGTGACAAGAGATGCACGGCGATAGAAAGTTCAACGCAACGCTAACATTCAGAGGCGGAAATGATCCGCGCCGTCGCAGGAAATTACGGAAGAATTGCGGAGCAAGAACAGAAGTAGAAGTTCGGAGGCGCGCAAGTGACTTTTTTAATGTGGATTCAGCCCGATGGACTGCCTTGGAAGCGCCTTGAAGGCGTGCGGCGGACTGGGCCTCGGCACGGACGGACATTGGATGGGAGGACCGACACGGAGCCACCGGTCAGTCGGTAATGCGCGATCGTCTCTCCTAGGAAAAATAATGCCGCCGGAGAAAGACCGCAAAATATGCACCGGCATTTGATGCAGATGTGGAAACCTGTGGTCATGGCGGCGACCGGAATGTGGAGGTGTGATTGTGCGTGACCGGTTTCGAGGCTGATCGCGAAAGCAATCGCGACAATATATCGAACCACTGCCAGACACCCATGTAGTGGGCGCACAAGGCTTTTGGCATATCTGCCCTCAGACCGCGCCCATGAGGAACTTCCAGTGAAAATCGGTGCTGGTAATATCGAGCGACGGAGTCACGTCCCGTAGACTCGGTAATTTCTCCACTCCATTGGTCGTACCACTCCCGTTGATTTTAGGCAGTGACAGATTGTGGAGGAGAGACACAGTCCGTCCCGAGCCTGTCGCTAGCTCAAATGTGTTGCCGTTCGGGCTTCCCCTGCCCATTGCATCGTGCAGCGCTAGTCGCATGACTGAAGTGATGCGTCGAAAGCGCTCAAACGCGTCTTCTTGACTGTCTTGAGCATCGCGAGGGCGAGGCATTTGCGAGGATAGCTGTTCGCGATAGTAGTCGAATGACTTCGCTATTTGGAGCTCGCTAGCGTCCCAACCCGGCATGGGCGAGGCGTGAATGGCCAACTTGCTCAAGCTGGTGATGGTGTTGATCAGGTTGAGCCAGTCGATCAGCGACACGAAATCGAAATGTTTGGTCGGGAGCTTTGTGCTGTTGTCGAGGAACTGTTCGACGGACCGGACCAGGGTGACGCGTAGTGATAGTTGAAAGCCCGAAGCCCACGGTGTACTATCGCGATCTACGAGATCGATGGAAGCTGCCGTTCGATACAGGTGTATGCGTGCTGCAAGCTGTAGCCATTGCAGTATTGCTAGTCGAGAATTAGCAATTGCGAATGTTACAGTGATGTGACTACTTACTGAAATCTTTCGCTTGCAGCTTGGATGCAAGACGGATATTCTCCCACTTGTCGCTCAGTCGTTTAACTTGTGTACGAACCACCACTGCTTGCTCTGACTGGTTACGGAAAGTCTCCTCCACATCCTCCATATATTGGCAGACATCCGTTAGTATTGGAAGGACGGCATCTGACGTGTTTTCCCACGATGAGGCCAATTCTGACGCGTAGTTCCGGAGTGTGCTGGTGTGCGTCATGGTCCTTGCTTTGACTGGCTCCATCAGACCCAGGTTGGAAGATAAGTAGTAACATCCCAAATAAGCCCGCTTAGCTTCCCTGTCTCGCGGGCTTTCCTTTTGTAGAGGACTCCTCACAGTCCTCCCTATGCTGTCCAGACCTAGGTCGTGAGCAATGCCCAAGCACAACTGAAGAAGCATCGTGATGGAAACGGCTTGGACGTCCATGTAGTGATGGTGCCAGGCTATGAAGACCAAGAGTCCCTGTAGGAGGTCCAGACTCTTTTCGCCTTTCATTATCCGGACCATGACCACTTTACGGAACTCTAGGCTCAGTGCTCTTTGAAGCGGGACCGAATCGTAAGAAGAGACTGTTAGCACAGCAAACATCAACATCGGCCGGCTCTGGAAGAGGTCCTGACAGCGGGCGTCTCTCGTCAGTGATACAAAAGGGAAGAAGTCGACCATGCTGCGATACGTGTCGAGCAGCATCTGCATGTGCACCAGGCTGATCGATCTGATAACAGGATCCAGTCGGCCAAGGCAAGACAGTGTGTCGTTCATTGATTCCCAGAATGACGCCGAACTTTCGGACTGATTTGCATGAGCGGGGAGTGATAACGTCCTGGGAGCTGGTGGCATCGATACAGGCGGAGCGGTTATTGGTGTCGGCGTCGGCATTTGCTGTGTGGAATCCAACAGTTGCGATGGGATGGTGGCTACCGATGGCAGACTACATTGTGTCGGAGCCGGCGCCATTGTCGCAACGATAGCAGACAACTTGTCCAATTTCTTGTCGAAGTCGCGCAGCTTGGTGGGTGTTTGGCCATCGCTGCGCGCCTTTGCTGGCCGCCTGCGCGCAACATGTTCCACACACTCGACTCTTGCCTTTTGGCATCTGGGGCACGTGTCATTCAATGTGGAGCAAAAATATGGCTGGGGTAAACAAACCTCTGGCAGAGAGCCGGCGTGTCAGATGGAACGCAGCGAACCTTGTGTTTTCGACAGCGCTCGCACGCAAAGGCGTTCCCTATCCTCCCTTCTTTTGCGTCCATGGCGGGGACAGAACTGGCAGTCTTGGGGGAAGGAGAGCCATCGGCCTCCGGCTGGGTACCCAGGCTGCTCATGTGGGGAAGTCCGATCATGTGGTGCCAAGTCCGGGGTCAAACTGCAGTTGTGAATTGAGTCCCTCAAACGCGCGTAACGGATGCACCAGAGATCAACGCTATGCTGACAGGGCGGAAGGCAATGCCGCAAGCCATTGCATCGGAACAACTTCAGCACAAGAGCCTTTGAAATGGGTTCCGCCGAGGGCCCGTCTATGTGGCGGTGCGAAATGGTCAAGATACCTCGGGTAGTATATGTCGGTATATTGATGGTCCGCTTGGAACCGGTTGCTTACTCCCGACGGTCTGGGGGCGTGAAAGCCGCCTAATTGCCCTGGCGGAACTGCTCCGAAGCTCCATCCGGCACCAGTGCTGATAAGTCCGTCATGTCAACGTTGCGCCTCGAATTGAATGGACGGCAATGGTGATGACCTCCAGTGCTGGCTATAGCAAGCGGCGCGACGCTACCGTCATAGTTTCCTCGCTCTTCTCCGCCCAATTTCAATCATGACTCACCTCTAGTGCCACAACCACGACGAAATGACCCAGAAAGCGCATCGCGACTATCAGGATGGCTTCGCCGGGAGGATAGGATGGGGTAAACGTCCGGCGCTGCTACTTGTCGATGTTTGTAACGCCTACTGGAACGATGCCAGCCCATTGGACACCAAGTCGAACCCTGCGTCTGCGGCGGCGCCCGCGTCCATCGCAAAACTCGTCTCTGCCGCCCGCCAAGGCAAAACGCCGTTGATCTGGACGCGAGTCGAATACACGAAGCCGGACATGTCGGATGCGGGCCTCTTCTACAGCAAAGTACCGCTACTCAAGCTGTTCCAAGTCGGCTGCGGGAACGGGCTTGAAAGTTGGTATCCTGGTTTAGAGCCCGCCGCTGGTGAAGTCGTCGTCCCCAAGCGCTACCCGTCCGCATTCTTCGGGACCGATCTGGCTGCGCAACTCCACAGTTGCAACGTCGATACTGTCATAATCTGTGGTGTCAGTACAAGTGGTTGCGTCCGCGCGACTGCCCTCGATGCCATGTGCCATCAATTTCGACCAATGGTGGGGAACGACTTGGCAACGCATGAGTCCCTGTAGACGTCACTAATCCTCATTCCAGGTGGTTGGAGAAGCATGCGGTGACTTATCACCTGCTGTCCACAAAGCAAACCTTTCCGATATAAACGCAAAGATGGCAGACGTGGTTTCTGAGGATGAAGCAATTCAGAAGCTGCAGGCTGGATGGGACTGAGCGGGCCGCGCGGCTACGGTACCGCGCCGCAGAACTAGTTCCAGGAGGTCAAGCTTCTGTCGCTGTAAGTTAATACAGTCATCTAGGTTCCTCTCGAGTTCGCCTCCATGAAGCCGAGCGAATCTTTAGTGTACGATACTATATCGCGAAGACATGTGGAGATGGCGGCCGCCACGAACGACAAATAGCACGGACAATTAACAAAATACACTCCTATCTCGATAACATGTAGAAAGAGCCAAGGGGAAGAAAGATGGCGTGTAGAAGGCGTAGTCAAGGTCTTTCATCTAAAAGGAAGGTGTGAAGCGTGGCGTGATGGTCGGTTCTTTCTTCTCACTAACATTTTACTTTGGCAACCGCAACCTAGGTACTGGTCTTACACAGACACGCAAGCGATTCTTCACTATTCACTGAACCACTGCTTCACAGCGCGTTACGTTATCACTCAAAATCACTCACATCGCTAGTCACAATGCCGACAACCCTTCAAGCAGAACCCACGAGAAGGCACGTGTCCGGTCTCAGAGCACATTTGCGTGTTTGCTATCGAGTACGGCATCGGCGTCTCTAGATACACCTTCTAATCCACAATACGCTCGAAAGCGACGCGACACTGTGCCCAACTCAAGCACATCAATCACACTTGAAGTCTTCCGATCACAATTCTCCGCCAGCGCCACCGCCAAAGACATTTCTGACATGAAGCAACGAAACTCAGCGCTCCCGATACTACAGCACACTCCTTATCCCGGTGCAGAACCGGTGCCCGATTGCGTGTGGGTATGCTGTGGATGCAGAAGAAGATGGGAGACGAAGGAGCTCGGCAACATCTGTGTCGGCTGCAGTCACAAATACTCCGTTGACTGTTGCCAGCTTGCCGGATAGCAAGTCATTGCGGGGGATTAGGAGATGGCACAAGGACGGGTTAAGGTGCGCCAGTCTACGCTCTTGATCTAACAAAGGCTAATATAGCGGCATACTTCAGCTGGTAACACCCAGCGGTCGAGAGTGTGTACGAATTTGTACTTGTAGCCATGGATGAACGTGCTGGTGGCAAGCGCAATCAACAAAGATATCCATTGGTATGCATCCCTCTTCAATGCCATGATCTACGAAATTTACTCCGCTCATGCTTCACATAGGCAAAGTGCTGTGCTCCATTCGCTCCTCTAACACAACTCTTGGGCACCCATTCGGCCATAAAGCTGACGCCTGACTCTGCTTGACTTCTCCAATGGCTCGATTTGATTGCATCCCTTCCATACACCATCACGCCCCTCATCGGCGGTACTATCACTCTTCTGACCACTTAGATTCCGACCCTCATGATTTGGTGCCCAGCGACCACGGCAGTTGGAATTCTCCCTCGGGACCTGCCCCAGACGACTTCTTTGGTCTCCACATGGCAAAGATAGGCGGAGGCGTCAGCTCATGCGCGCACTTCCTCCACTCGTCGCTCGCTTCCGACTTCTCGTTGTCGAAAGCAATCTTCAGCAGAGACTGAAACCCAAACTTGTCGTAGAGCGGTTTTCCCATGGCAGAAGCTTCCATCCAACATTCGAGATCAAGTCCGTCCGCGCGTGTAATACCAACGTGCATGAGAAGAGAGCCAACACCGCGATTCCGATGGGCAGGGTCTACCGCCATCCAGTTGAGTGCTAATACAAAGTCAGCGACAGGAAGAAGATCATTTTGACTTTTCGCACAATCACGTTTCTTCATCCGGAAATAGCGCGTTTGAGGGGAAAGGAAATGCTCCACTTACCACAGTGTGGCCGCGTCATCCAATTCGCTCGCGGCCTGTACACCTGATTGAGTATTGACTCGCAGAAGCTCCGATATTCGCCCTCGGGCCACCATGGCGCTGTCAACTTTGGTGTGCCTGCAGCGAATGGGTTGACAGTCGAAATTACCCATTGCGAGCAACCGACAGTCTTGTTAGTGACTGTGTCGAAGGCGTAGAACCAGTGGCTGGAATTGTCCTCTTGGTGTTGTTTCCAGAAGCGTTGTTTTGACTCGGCGACGGCGAGGTCGCGATGGGCGCTCGTGTAGCCAAGGACCGGGAAGAACAGTTGCATGAACGGCTCATAAGGTGTGTAGTTCGCAGCCCAGATAACATCCAGTATCTCATCCAGCTCTTGCTTTGTCTTTGCCTCCCGGATCACGTATCGTTGTCCCATCGCAGCGGATTGGCGTTGGTCAAGCCATGGCGACATCGGCCAGGTAAAGTAGTCTGCAAGTGCGCTACCTCGCCGCCGCTGCGCATTGACAGCGCAATCGGAGATATAGCTTGACCCAAGTATTGGACATCGTAGATTGCCGTGTTAGGGTGAAGTTGCCCAACAAGGAAGGTACCGTCGACACATTTAGCGGCTTGGCGAGGCTGGCAAGTAACACCCTTTTGCCCCAGCACACCTTCCCCGATAGCCCCTCACTTTTACACACATCCAGCCACTCGGTAGCACTTGTATCGCTATCATCATCTCCAGATGCTTGCGACCTTCCTCGATCGTACGGGCGCCGCAAGACAGATTCTCGGCGATGTAACGATGGACCGAGGCTGGTCGCGTCGCTATTCATTCAAGGTCCGCGCTCGGAGCGGTGCGATTGGGGTATGGTGTTGTCGGGACGGGCTTGCGACGTATGTTTGTGAAACTCGAGGCGAATTCTGTGACACCCAATGAGCGCGCTCCGTCTTATGGAGCCGCGGAGGCTTGCTTTCTACATTCACTCCACAAAGCGGATCGAAGAATGGAGCGACCTCCAGCATATGCGCCAGTCTGCAGCGATGAACAGGAAGAAATCTTAGCAGAGCTAGAAGAGAAGGATGGCGTTTCCTGGAACTCTAAGAGTACTGAAATCATCCCGACCAACACGCGCAGCTTCGTGGCGTACATGTCCATCCTGCTGCTCTCTCTTTCCGCGAACATTCTCCTGGTGATGGACAATGCACGGCTTCGCATTGCGCACAGTCCAGCTAAGAGCAACTACAGTAAGTAAAAGCCTGATCGGTATGATGCTAGCTCACGAAGATCAAAGGTGGATTAGCCTACGATACTACTGTGCCATATCACGCGACGACAAAGTACTGGCATCCGAACGCCAGTGATAGTGATATGGAAGCGGCATGGGACGCTATTGACACCAATGCCATGGCAGTCACGCTTGACGATAGATTCGCAAAACGTGTCGGTCTACCCAACTCTACTCGGTTTCCATGGGATACCGAGAGAAGCATCTACTACGTCAAAGGAATCCACGATCTGCATTGTCTTGTACGTATACATGATGATGTTTGTGTTCATCCGCTGATTGCATCAGAAACTCATCCGGAAAGCCATTGTGTCAAAGCATAACGACAACCCACAGCCCTTCAATCTTCTTCACATCTACCACTGCCTTGACGGACTCCGGCAGAACATCATGTGTAATGCGGACGACACACCGATACCAGCCCCTGTTACACATCAGTCGGGCGAAGGTCAGCTTCGACAGTGTCGTGACTGGGACAAGCTGATTGCATGGGCCACGCGTCCTGACCAACATGCTTGCTACGAGTTTGACGATTATCGCGAAGCAACGAACACACTGGAAAACTTTGCGTTCTGTCCCCCGGGTTCGCCTTACCGGGAGTTCCAAGAGGCTTATTTCCAGCATCATGGACACAAAGACGCGTATGAGCTGTATAGCGACGAAGAAGAAATCGTGGTTTTCTGAAGTCGTGGCCGAGATACATCTTGGGCATACGTGGTGTGGGAACGTTCCTGGTCGTTTGCGCCAATTAAAATACGAATGTACCTGTTTTGAAACTTAATCGCGGTAGCAGGGAGCACTTTATCGTCAGAAGTTCCGATGTACATGCAACTTAATATCGATGGAGGCTACACTACATGATCAGCATCAGCCACTAATGGTCGAACGCCATGGATCGGAAGGGTATGTACATCAAATCTGCCCTGACCACGAAAAGCGTCAGGCAAATTCCGCGGCCAGCTCCAATGTCAACCGATGTCTCATGCCGTCAACGTTTCCTTATATCGGCCCGGGTCAACTGCATTGTTACGATGACCGTGCGGCGAGAAGACAAAAAGTGCAGTGCGACACTGACAGGAGTAAGGCAATCATAGAGAGTGGATGAGCGGCGCCGAAGACATGCGCGTCTGAAACTTCGGACCGGCATGATTACATGCGAGAAGTAATAGTTCCGAAAATACTACGCTGAGGTACGTAGCAGTCGACACATATATTTCGAGGTGAAGAACAGCAAGCTCAGCACCACCTTCATCCTGTTCCCACACACTATCTTCGACGTAAGCTAGAATGGCTTCGGGCGCGTATACTCACTGACGCTGACCAGAACCAAAAAAAAACTCACCAAGCACATCAATTATCAACTACCTGCCATGCACGCTACTATCGCTCTACTTCCGCTTCTTGCCTTCGCGATGGGCATCGCTGCAGCTCCAGCACCCCTGCATCCCGTTGCCCGGGCCGTACCAGATATCAACGAAGTCGCCCGAAACCCGGCTCCCATCGATCATCATGTCGGTTGGGACGACCATGGCAAACCGACACTCGGAGATATCAGCCACCTCAGTCCAGAGGACATCAAGAAGCTCAAAGACCTCATCAAGCATCTACTTGGTGGCAGTCACTCTGCATAGGAGGCTGTCGGAAGTCGCACATGGAGGAAGTGATATCATCCAAGGTATGCGCTTGAAACTTCGCTTCTCTAGGATCTAGCTAAGAAGTGTAGCCCCCGGAATTCTTTTACAGACAATTATGCCATCTACTTGCGCACACGAAAGAGGTGGAGTCCTATTCTCGCATGCGTCGTCGCTCTAGCCGCCAAGGCCGCCATAACAACATGATCAAATACGACTAATTTCGAGATTTCTACTGCTCTACCTTACTTGCTCAGTTCTGAACACTCCGATCTGTCTTGGCTAATTCCACGGCCTTTTTCATGCAACAACCTGTGAGCAGCCATCATCTGACGGGCAGCGCCACCACTGCAGCGACCGCCCCACTGCAAGCTCGCGTATCAATGGAACACTACACAAGATATGTGCTGGCAAATGTTTCACGACGGCATTGGCCAATTGACCATCAATCGCTCGGCAACGCACAGTCGTGACACATTGCCGAGCCTGGTGTGTCACAAAGGTCACACCACGGTAGAAGATCCCAGAGCGAGCTAATCAGCGATCGGAAGATGACGAGTGTCGTTGTAGCTAGCGAGGTAATATACTGGCTTTCCTCCGCCGCTTACTCCCGTAGCTTCCGACGTATACCTTTCACTAACATACCAGCAAATCCTAACCTGACCCGAACTTCCGGCGCAGTAGCACAAACACCTCTTTGAAACAGAAGAATGTTCAACCGAGGATACACAAGCGTCTGGCCGACCTTGCATGTTCGTCCCTCTGTGTTGCTACACCTGCGCAACGTCGTACCGCCGCTTCCTGGTCTAGCAGACCCCTTTCCCCCGGTCTACTAACAATCCAACTGACATCGCTTGTTTGCAAGTGTCTCGCTCCAAGATTAAGAGCGGATAATGACAGCGTGTGCTATGGTGATTGTGAGCGAGCCCTCAATGCAGGTTACCTACACGGTGGCAGCTCGCAATCTCACATTACTTGCACGTAATGTCGGTATTAGACGGTTGAGCGCGTTTGTAAGCTCCACCTTCATACAAACGAACAAACGACCTGTTTGCTCGCCTTCCCTTGTCTATTCTTGCGCGTGATAGGCCGCGCATAATACCTCGCTACCTATTACTGGCGCACTCACTTCGTCGGTATCTAGCCATTCTAACCTCGGATACGATGCAATGATGCCGCAATCTCCTTTTGCTTCTTCCCATCAACCCCTCCCGCGCCGGCCGGGAAGCAGCGCGGATGTCGGTCCGTACATCAATGTGATTACGTGGGTTCTCTTGATTACCTCCGCGTTGGCGGTCTTGACTAGGCTTGTTACCAAGCGTGCGTTGAAGCGGAGCTTAGATATTGACGATGGTTTTGTCTTGCTGGCTTTGGTACGTCACGTTTGATTGAGCTGGATTACCGTTTCAAATCCTGCTTTTGCTGACTGATGGGGAATAGATTGCGACTATAGGCTCTGGTGTCTCTGTTAGTTTCCAGACAGGTAATGGCCTTGGGCGAGACATCCTGTTGTTGACTGAGGATCAGATCTTGGCGTATCAGAAAGTAAGCGGCTTAGTGACCGGGGACTACATTGATATCCTGCTAAGTTCCTTTGCAGGCCGAGTATGCGAACAAGCTGCTCTACATCGCAACTCTATGTTTCGCAAAGTTGTCCATCATATCGCTGCTAAAGATTCTGACCGCATCAAAACTACACCGGACCTTAGGCTTGCTACTCACCGTCTTTATCGCTTCTTGGAGCATCCTGTCCGGACTTGTGTCTGCGTTTCAGTGCGGCGCTGAAGAGCCATGGCGCTTCCTTGAGAGAGGAGGGAGATGCTTCGACTTGGTATGTAAGATTTTTGCCGTCTTCATTGACATTGCTGACACTTCGAGGAGGCCGCTTTTTGGCAGTCCGTCGGCGTCGTGAACATACTGACGGATCTGGCACTCATACTGTTCCCGGTTCACGTAATCATGACGCTACAAATGAGCACGAGCAAGAAAGTTACGATCCTGACGTTCTTCGGCGCACGATCACTGTAAGTTTTGCAAATAACCATGATACTAGTCCCTCACTAATGCGCCACAGAGACATCGCAGCGACTGCCGCCCAAATGGCGTTTACCCACGGCTTCGCATCACCCAACCCGACGAAAGACCTCTGGACATGGACACTCGTCACTCAGATCATTGAGTGCATCACCATCCTCACATCATGCGTACCCTACCTACGACCGCTCCTGGAACACGTCCCATCAGGCCTCTACGGTACCGACACGATACGACACCGAGGTACGACCCCAGAGCACGGCTACTCGCGCACTAAAAGCAATTCGTATCAGCTCTCCAGCATCGCTTCGAGAGTCGGTGGCGGAACAAAACACAGTCGGAAGAGTGAGGTGGAAGGTGGCGGGCTCAAACGCTTTCTACCAATGTTCTCGCACAATAGAACGACAAATGCCAATTCTGCATCGGGTATCCCTGGAGGCCCTCCGCGACCTGACGGCGAAATGGATGTCGAAATAACAGCTGTACATCACAAGCATGATGGAGAGAAGCGATGGGATGACAAAAGATGGGAGAATGCAAGTACGGGAAGCTTTTCGAAGATCCTGAAGACCACTGTTGTTAGTGCGGAGTGGGAAGACGTAGGAGCAAAGCGTGGCGATGCGTCCAGTGATGAGATTGTGATCTTGCGTTGATGTTCGCTCGGTAGAGGTGCTTTTGCGGTAGCGTCAAGAGTTCTATACCCATTGATCTGGTGCTGAAATCCAACGAACCCAATGCTGCACGATCTTCATGATTCCTTCACTGCATCAAAAGAATTACGACACGTTTGTTGATCATTGTCGACGTCGAAATGCCTGGACAATGTGACATCATACACGTGAGATTACAGTCAATGCTCCGGCGATGTGGTATCCCCGTGGGCCTGTAAAGCTGTGCGAATGTTTTGCAGTGCCAATCGTCGCGTGGCTCACGCACGGGTTCCAGCCTTGAAGGTTAGTGAGCTGGTTCCAATTGCAACTATCCGTCTGAAGGTTTAGAACTGACATGCCACTTAGCTGCGAGTACCAGTCCAAATTGCCCATAGGCCAGAGAACCTTGAATGAGCATAACTTGCACGCGAGGTGGGTCAAGCCCGATACCAAGTCCGGCATTCCAGTTAGCCCCACGCTTGCTCCAGTCAACAGGAAGTCGTGCGCCTTTTTGGGCTTTCGCCCCCTGTAGCATGCTGCACTTGGACTTCTACTAGGAGATGTAACGCGGCATGCCTGTGGCTGCATATGTCAGCCTCTAAGAGTAGATCGAGATGCAACACGCGTGAACTGCATCTGCGCAGGTTCCCGACAATAGTACGATGTCTGAGAGTCACGCTGAGGCGTGCAGGTCATGGTAATGGACTCTGTGCAAGGGACAGAACAGCTAGACGCCACATTTAGATCGGCCTGGTTGTGTTCTGGTAACGCATTCTCTGCTCGCATGGAACCTCTAGGATACAAAAGCACCACACGACTCGTTTGGAATGCTGGAACAGATATCGCGATGCGTCATGATAACCGTTGAGAATGCGTGCACGGATGGAGGAGGCGGCTTCCCACATGGACCCGCGGGCAGCCGATTACTAACTAGCGTCACACAAGATGGAATGAACCCCGGAGCCACCCCTTCCGTCTTCCCTCATTCCCCAACCACCGCACCGCTCATCGTCCAATTCGTGCCACGGATAATCTGCCGGGAGGTCTATGCCTTCGACTACAACGGTATGACAGCCGTTATTGTGACCACATGCCGCATGCTCTACCCTCGATCAGCATGCCGAAGGGAGACTACGGCGGCCCAATGTTGCACGCTGAGTGACATGCAGCGACGAATGACGCTCTGAACCCCTTTTCGCGATTGAAAGCCATCATGATCTACTGCTGAGTTCGGGAAGTACGAACGCCTCTTTCTTGGGCATATGCAAAGCGCGACGCCCTGGTGCAAACACATCTGTCTGTTCCAGCATCGACCATGCCGTTTGACAAACACGCGAAGACCGGGGAATGTTAATTTCGCCTCTACCACACTTAATACATGCGGACAAGGGGTCTGCAGGAATGCATGTCACCGCTTTCCGCAGTTAGGCACCCCAGTGGTGTGCGACCGAGGCACCAATCAACGCCCGTTTCACTGTGGGGTGCCCTCTGAAACTACGACTGCAGTGCGATACGTCGACTTGCGAGCTGCCGCCGTCACTGCAGAGAGCCTACAACTGCCTTTGCGGTGCGAAACGTTGGCTTGGTGTCTTTCACTCGGACGCTTAGTTGCATTGCCGAGCGACCGCCTCCTAGACCGACCTCACTACCGTCTTTGCCGGCGATCACCGTACTACCGCATCCACCCGTGGACATCTGCACATGGCGCACGTTACCTCTGGAAGGGATATATATCGAGATTTACTTGCATTGCATGCGTCCTGTATCACGACACACCTTCTGGGTATCTTCTTTCCTTTTCTGGTCTGCCTGCTTGCTCGACATTTGTTACTACGTACTGCGGTCGTATCCGTCTTGTTGCTCAACACGCCGCGGATTGAATAGCTGGAACCAAGGCTATCATGGAGAAGCATATTGAACTACAGAGGTTCAACCATGAGCCTCTGCGGCCGAGGGGCCGGGGCTCCATTTCGGAAGGCAAAGGCCGGCAGTTCGATAACGACAGATATGAATTGGCGAAAGTGGGAAAGAAGCAGGTGTTGAAGGTATGCTCACTTTTGACAATGTGTTTGCCCGATCTGATCACGGTAGCGTCGCTTCGGACTGGTGTCTATGACCGGTCTCTCTTGCGGGTTGATGTGCACCTGGGAGACTTTGCTTGTGTAAGTGAATGTGATTGATACCATCTACTTCGCTGACGTCATGGCAGTATCTTTTCGATAGGCTTCCAAAAGTAAGTACTTGATCTAAACAGGAAGTCCGCAGCGACTGACGATGTGACCACAGCGGTGGACCTGCTGGCCTCATCTACGGCTTCATTCTGATTTGGCTGGGCAACTTCTCTGTCTTCGTCTGCATCGGTGAGCTTGCAAGCGCCGTTCCGACTGCTGGTGGCCAGTATCACTGGGTCTCTTTACTGGCGCCGCGCTCAAACAGGAAGTTCTTCAGTTACGTGACCGGTATGTACGTCCACTTGCAAAGCCATTGCAATTATATTAATCATCTTAGGTTGGCTCACGGTCATCGGCTGGATTGCAGCTCTTACTTCCGTATGCTACTTTGTAGCCGATTTGATCCTGCAGTTGGTCAGCCTGAACGATCTCGAGGGCACATATGTCCGCGAAGGCTGGCACGGTACACTCCTCCTCTGGGGTATACTGCTCTTGTGTGTCTTCATCAACGTCTTCATAAGCGGAGCGCTTCCCACGATCGAAGTCGTCGTCCTCATCGTCCATATCCTTGGCTTCTTTGGCATCCTAGTACCGCTGATCTACTTGCCATCGAGCCACAATTCGGCCAAGAAGATCTTCACGATGTTTCACAATGAAGGAGAGTGGAGCACGCACGCTCTGGCCTTCTTTGTGGGACTACAGGGCAATGCTCTGGCATTCGTCGGAACAGACTCAGTCGTCCATGTAAGCTCAGCATTCCCAATCTGTCTTTCATTGCTAACGGATTAGATGTCTGAAGAGGTCAAAAATGCCAGCACCGACGTTCCACGTTCAATGCTTCTCAGTCTCGTCATCAACGGCACATTGGCATTAGGAATGCTCTTCGCCGTTCTCTTCAGCGCCCACGATATCACAAACTTACTCAACGACCAAGACGCGACAACCGCGCCTTTCCTCCGAATCTTCACACAGGCTGTCGGTTCCGAGGCTGGTGCTACAGTCATGGTTGCAATCATCGTCCTACTCGAATTCTGCAGTGCAATGGGGTGCCTTGCAGCTGCATCGCGCATGACATGGTCGTTCGCCCGAGACCGCGGCCTTCCTTTCTCTCGCGCTCTCAGTATGGTAAGTACACTTTTCGATCGACAAACAACCTAAGAGCCCTCCACTAATACCCTACAGATCGATAAACGAAGCACCATTCCCGTCGTCTCCATCCTCGTCGTAACCGTCTTCGCCGCCCTCCTCGCCCTCATAAACATCGGCAATAGCGCCGCCTTCAACGGTACAATCTCCCTCGTCCTAGAAGGTTTCTACCTCTCCTATCTCCTCGCCATCGGCCTGCTCCTCTGGCGCCGCGTTCGCGGCGACCTAGACAACCCGGACTCCTCGCTCACCATCTTCAACGAAGCGCAAGTAGACGAAGCGTACGATCGCAGTCTGACCTGGGGTCCGTGGCGTCTCAAGGGTGCATGGGGCGTTGCTAACAATGTCGTCGCTATCTGTTACCTTACTCTCATCATCTTCTTCAGCTTCTGGCCTAGCCAGCCCCATCCGGATCTAGTAAATATGAATTGGGCGGGTGTGGTGACGGGGGCGGTGGCCGCGTTCAGTGTGGCGTACTACTTGTTGTTTGCGAAGAAGTCGTATACTGGGCCGATTGTGGAGGTAGATCCTCATGTGTTGTGAGGGGGGTTCGGAGTGAGGCTATCTGGCACCTGTAGGATCAGTGTGCAGTGGGACTACGTATCGAGGAAGGCTTTCGAGAGTCACTGCTGTGTAGTGTATGCTAGGCGAAAAGTTCCGGGACATAGAGGCTTACTGTTGAGGCACAACAAAAGCGCGGTATATATAGACTGGACATACCATCAACCCGACATGATTTACGAACAATACAATGAAGCTTGCCTTCCGTATCTGTGAGGCCTTGAATAGCTGCTAATGCCTCTTTGCATCAGCTTAAACAAACCTTTCAAAACTTCACTCACTGTACACTAACTGGGACGACAAGTTTGTAATCGTAATCATTCGTTATCATACATAACTCATAGCATGATGACATTTGCCTGTATATGCGCGCCTTTCAAAGCCAAAATAGTACTCATGTGCAATAGAGCGTGAGAAAAGAAGAAGAAGAATCCAAATAACCGGCCGTAACTCATCAAAAAACATCAAAGAAAAAAATGCTGCACCAACAGCCCCATCTCCACCCATTTCCAACTTCCAGACAAAAGCATCCAGATGCCCTGCCACTTTTTCCACTCCAAAATCGTGTTGAAACCCCAAGCTTAAGAAAGCGCCCCCATAGCCAACGCCACAATCTTAGGATTCGGTTTATCCTTTCGAACCAGAACTACCAGAAGAATCAACGAGCCGTTCAAAGAAGTGAGTGCTAATGGGCCGAGCGAACAAGGGCTAACCTACCCTTCCGGTCTCTGTCAACGCGCATAACCTCCTTGCGGGGCGTACGCTCAACAAACTCATACTCGCGGTCGCCCTCGCGCTCGTACTTGAGCATGCGGCGCTCC